CTGAACCATTAAATTAAAATAAGATCTCTCAATAAAAACACAAACTACATCTATAGGCAAACAGAACAAAAGATCACATGAAGAATGTTTATTAATCAGTGAATAATTATTGGCTAGAAATGAAAATGATAAACAGAGTCCATTTCATGGATCTTTCTCAGAAATTTACTAAAACAAAGTGTGTTTATAAAAATGATGTTAGACTTCTCTGTGGTAACAACGGTTGAATGCTCTAATTCTGAAGCTGTGAGCTGAAATGTTGTGTGTTAAATAATCAGCTGTAATTTGTTCGTTCCATTGGTTGATTTTCTGCAGGCACACTGCAGACTGGGAAGCACCAGTCCTTCTTAGTCCTTCTCCTAACAACATATAAGAGTCCAACTGGACCACATCCACGTACTGAAGCTTGTTCTATGACACAGGATTTGATCTTATCCATATAGTGTCAGGGTTAGGGTTAACCCTGGGGTTTCACTTCTTACAGGGGTATATTCCCAATTGTAACTCATCAACTAATTAATCCTGAAACTTATGGAGACAAAACATTACTGGATGGAAGATGCTTCTTATTAACTGTAAATCAATATGTGTGTGTACACTTCTCTGCGTAAGAATAATTATTGTGAACCTTTCATGGATGCGCTGAAATATTTGAAAATGTTGTTCAGACGTGTTGAACTGACTGAATATTAATGGGCTTAAGCAGGGCCGGCTATACACTGGGGTAAGAGGGGTCAATGCCCCCTTATACAAACGTCCTGTCCCCTTAAATCAAAATGTAGAAGTTGAGAAAGAAAATAATAGATTGCCCACAAACTGAATATGGGCAAGATTTACTACAGTAGCTTAATAATCCACTGGAAAAGGCACAAATGAGATGATAGGTAACCCTAACCCTGTTTGGCCTGTTTGGTCTCTTCAGTGTAGAGGTCTGGGCATTCCTCGCTACACTGTACAGCATACACTACACATTGTTAAGTTTGTGTTTAGGAGTTTTGTCTTTTGGATGAACCAGTTTTTGTGTGAGTGTGTTGATGGGTCTTATTTAATTTTGCACATTTATTTGAATTAGGCCATCCAATTAAGTTCGATCTTATGTTGTTGATTGTAAAGATCTGGATGGATATTTTAGTTTATTCTCTATTTGTATTTTTCAGTGTTATTTTCCAAGACTTTGCAAATTCTCCTTTTCTTTTTATAACTGGGCCTACCATTTTTAGTTTTGTTCATATTGGCAATAGTGAGAAGTTTTATTGTTGGTATGAATATATTTGATATAGGCTATCCAATTAAGGTAAATGCCGTGTTTTTAGTTGTTAGAATCTGATGAAGAATATTTTATTTTATTTTTTGGTGTTCTCGCTTTTCTGTTTTCCCCCTGAGGGATTCCCACCTTAACGTGGTCAGGGGGTTTGCGTGCCTTAGTGACCATAAAAGCTAGACCCGCAGAAGCTTAGCCTTCAGGTGGGACACCCAAGTTGGTCAGGTCTTAGGGTAGAGGCCTGACAAATTGCAATCCAATTACATGACAGAAACAGTTATCCTGAGTAGGGCTGCCACGATTAGTCTACTAGTCACGATTACATCGACGACTAATTTGAGTTTGGTGCGTCGTTTGAAGCTAAGATCCTGAAAGACGCAGGAATAGGTAGTAGGATTTAAGAGTGTGAAACAGAAGATGTCAGCAATGCATGTACAAGGATGCCAGCTGCTGTTAAACGCCAAAGAAGAAGAAGCAGCCTCCAGTGTCGTGGCTGTGTCCAAATGTAGCCACATCCTTCGGAGGCCGCATTTGAAGGTCAATTACATTACAGCGACGTGACAAAGGCTGGCCAAATTCAAAGACTCCGACAAATGCGGCCGACAAATGCATCCTCCTTTTCCTCAGATTTGAAGGATGGGTCTGGTGTATCCTTCGTGGCCCAACCTATCCCAGAATTCACAGTGTGGCTCAGCCAATTCCAGTTTCCTGCAATGGCGGCAGCTACTTAGTTTTAATATTACTCTTATTACTCTTTCTGGGTCACAAAATAGTTTTCAGATATTTTAGGAGAGAATGTAGCAGCAGATCACTTCAAATATCTGCTCCGTTTATCAAGACATCACATATTTGCAAACGTGCTCCGATGTTTTCGGAGACGCCTGTTTCCCACCAGCTTGATAGCTGACCAGGGGTTCGAAGCTCTCTAGAGCCAGCTTGAACAGCAAACTCCAGGCACATTGTTTTCAAACCCCCCGTGGTCTTTCGCTCCTCGGGTTAAACATGATATATAAGTCAATTAGATAACTTAAAAATTTTATTGTTTGGCTTTTTTCAGTGTTTTATTTGTTCCTGAGTAAATCGGTTTGCCTGAGATTAAAGTTATAGTTTTCACACAGCTGAATAAACGTCAAACAGAAAACTGATTAAACAGAAGGGAGAGATGGTTGAGAATTTACTCCAATGTCCTGTATATTTTAGATAGCAAGGAGCAGACGGCTGAGTCTGCAAATTTCATTAAAAGTTTAATAAACTATCATCTTAATTTTAGTTAGCACATACCTTAAACACTAAGCTAATGATAGTTATATAAGAGCTTATTCCACCAGCATGTTGGTGGAATAAGCTGTACGTTTTATGTCCAATGGATGTATAATCTTATTAGTCGACTAATCGCAAAAATAACCGGTGACCATTCGACTATCAAAATAATTGTTTGTGGTAGCCCTAATCCAGACCAGATCAGCCCACCCAACCCCCACACCTTTCTCGCCTCCATTGCCACTAGGTGCCCCCTTTATTTCTGTCTGCCTGTTAGGTGTGGCTGTGTGCAGACAGGAATAGGACACAAGGTGCAGACTCCGGAGACAGCCGTGAACTCAAAATGGCTTTAATGTGATACTCAAAATATATCATAACTGGAAAAACTCAAAATAACCTTAAACTGGAGGAATGACAGAACACACAGCAAGGTAAACGGTAGATCGCAACAAGGACACAGAGAAACACAGGGCTTAAATACACAGAGGGAGCAATCAGGGAATGAATAACAGGAGGGAAACACAGCTGGGGCAAATCAGAACTGACGAGACCAAAGGAAGCATAAACTGAACACACTGAAATAAGCATGGACTTCCAAAGTAAAACAGGAAACACATAACACAGACTCACATGCAGGCACTACAGAGGGAACAGAGACGTGGGACCAGGGCAGACACAAACACTGACTGAACACGGGGATATAGGAACTAAGGATACACAGAGACGCGAACTAGACAAGGGGATACAGGTGATAGGGGAGACAGAGCAACTAAAGAAACACAGACAGAAAACCAAAACACTAAAACTCTAACCAAACCTCACCCAGAGGACCTTAACTAAGAAAAACCTGTAAAGCAAAGCTAGAATATAATGAAATAACAAAATCAAATAACCAAAAACACAAAACACTGGGTCACCGACCCAGGAACCCTAACACTGCCCCCTCATATATGCCTGTCTAGAACCGGCCCAGGGCTGAAGCTTCCAGTCACAGTGTGTGTCAGTGAATGCATTATTTAGGGAGTAACAGAATACATGTTACGTATTTAAAATACAAAATATGAGTAACTGTATTCTGTTACAGTTAAAAGGGGGATATTCAGAATATTTGTTGAGATAAATGGATTACATGGCAGTCTTTTCCTGTTTTATATGTTAGGCTATGCCCTCTCAATTTTTGTTAATTTCACACCTGTGGGAAAACCCTAAGAAAACACGCAATAAGAGGCTCTAATGCCTGTGTCTCAGTCTTGCGGCCCATGTCACCTCTACTTGCGGCTCGTATAAATGACGTGAAGAAAATTCTTTTCAAAATTATTATTCAAAAAATTATTTAATATAAAGGCAATAGGCAGAGTGTTACAGGCATAGCCATAAAGAATGTAGACTCATGAGCAGTGTAGTCCATGCTGCAGGGAGAATGGACTGCCATACCATTATGTGTCTGTGAGCGCGAGGAGGGAGAAAAAAGGGAGTCAAAAGTATGAGTTGTCACAGACCAGAAACGGGAGATGGAAGCATGTAATATAAGAAATATATATAATAATATATATAGTAAATATAATAATAACCACTGCAGCCAAAAAGAGTGCCCGACGAGCCCAGTTGTAAATAAGTTATTAAGACTCGACTGTACACTGTGTTCGTGTTTTCCTCTGAAACAATAAGTTCCGTTGGAGCAGCCTTTCAACGCCTCTCTCTGTCTCTTGCTAGCAAAGTTGACCCAGACAACAAAGTAAAGCTATTTTTCGGCTACGAGCCCGACACAGAACCCGACGTATTAGCCAGAGGTCCCTTTACTACGGTTCGGAGCCGCGGATCTGTTTGATATATGAGCAGAATAGTTTTCTATATGAGATCACTGCAAAAAGTGCAGCCTTACCTAATGTCCACCCTACTGTTACTCATTTTATATTAAGATTTAAAAATCTAGTTGCTATTGGTATCTCGAGTAACGTTCAGTAATAGTAATAAATCACACAGCAATAGTACATTCATGCAGTTGTAAAAAGCATGACAATATATTAAGTAATCCAAAGTATTCAGAATACGTTACTCTCATTGAGTAACGTAACGGAATACGTTACAAAATACAGGTTGGGTTATGTATTCTGTAATCTGTAGTGGAATACATTTTAAAAGTTACCTTCCCAACCGTGATCATGTGTGCTTCATGGCTCCATCTATTGAACTGATGGTAGAAGTAGAGCAGCTGATGGCAGCTTCCTCTGCCTCACACTGCTGTCTGACTGCATTCTGCTGACACTGAGATGAAGCAGAAAAGAAGCAGCTGGTATTTGGACACACATGATGGAAAGGAGGATTTCAGTTGATGTGCACATGAATGATTTGTGTTTCCTCTGTAGGTGAAGGTAGAAACTGTGTGTGAGCTGATGTGGATGTGAATTCAGCAGCATGGATCAGTGTGAGGACAGAGAGGAGGGAGTCCCTCCCTCTAAAACCACTCTGTGTGGGGAACATGAGAGCCAGACCACAGCTCAGAGGTGAGATGACCATCTCTAACTGTCCATGACTCTTCTCCATGTCACAGCTCAGCACTCACATCACTGCTCCATCATTATTCATTATTCACACTCATACTTCTGTGTATGTTGTTTTAAAGCCCAGAGGTGCACGGTGTACCAGGGTCTGCTGGACCTAAGCCTAAAACTAATCCAGAACCTGGACCTGAACCCAGCTGTGTTTCCTTAAAGAGTGACCTGTCGAAGGATATTGGTGCTGACTTTAAAAAAGAACTTTTATGTGACAAAGAGTAAGTAGTTTACTTTTTTCTGGTTGTTTATGTTTTGGGGGATTAAGTATTCTCATTTTAATTTTTTTTGTTTTACATCATTTTTTTCTGATTTGAGTAATTTTGTTCATCATGTAAGTAATTTAATATTTCCAGTTTTTCCATCTGTCTCATGAAACTTTTACATTTATTGTTTTACATCTAGGATCAGTAAGAAGCCAGAATCTCCTGGACCTGAACCCAGCTGTGCGTCTTTAAAGAGCCATCAGTCAAAAGATATTGGTGAAAATTTTAAAGGATGTCCTTCTCCTGCCAAGAGGTAATGTGTATCTAAATGTCATTGTGAATAAATGTGAATAAATCCTCCATCATGTTTAATATCAGCTCACCTCTTTTTCACACACATTTCTATGTTCATGTGTGAAGTGGTGTGTGTTGGAATGTTTCCACAAAGACAGCAGTCAGAGTGTAAAGAATGGATGTTGTAGAAGGGGTTTCTGTAGTGAAGAGGCTGAGTGTCTGTAGGACTCCAGATGCTCCAGCACGTGTCTCCTTTGTGCTTTGCATCAAACACAGTGTAGGTGGGAACTTCCACTCAGGTGTTTCAGGTGTTGCCGGATGGACAAATATTTTTTTCTCCTCTTCAATGACACTTCAGCAGTGCTCAATCTTCTGGGGAGATGTCTGTCTTTATGAAGGTTTATGGATTATAATTCTTTCTTACTTTGGTGAAACTAAGCAATAAACTTTCCACCTAACTTTTCAAATAAATTTCCAGCTGGCAGAGAAAAAAAGATATGAAGCTACAGTGATGCTTAACAGCCTGAGCGATAGTAAAAATTCAAACAGAATTCAAACATAGGCTTAATCTCCATACGTATTTGATATAGTGCCAACGAATACAAATAGGTGTTCTTATATGTCTTAATCATAGAGCTCTGATAGTGATAAGCTATCACAGCATCATCACAGCCACTTTACACCAGGAAGTAACTACATGGGGAAACTGTATTACAAAGAAGACAGCAAGGGAAAACTCAGGGCAGCCTCGTGCTATTGCAATGTAACTAAGGGAAGATTCAGGGTCACCGGATCCAGCCCTAACTATATGCTTTATCAAAAAGGAAAGTTTTGAGCCTAATCTTAAAAGGAAGAGAGAATGTCTGTCTCCCGAATCCAAACTGGAAGCTGGTTCCACAGAAGAGGGGCCTGAAAGCTGAAGGCTCTCCCTCCCATTCTACTTTTAAATACTCTAGGAACAACAAGTAAGCC